ACCTATTGAGTTTCAAAGACATAAGATTGAATGGTTTCCATATCGAAACTCAGGATGAAGGGAACAAAGAGTTTTTAATTATCACTAAAATGATAAATGGCCATAAACAAGTTTTTGAAACTATACCCGCCGTATCTACTGGCATTTACCATGCTAAAGTCAGTATGATTGAGGCTAATGCTGCTATCAAAGCACGGTTTTTAGATTACACTATTTGGCATGATCGCCTGGGTCATCCCGGTGCGAACATGATGCGTAAATTAGTCCAGAATTCTAAAGGGCACAGCCTTACACAAATTTTATTTTCCCTCAGCACCTCAAGTGCACAGCTTGCTCACAAGGGAAACTGATTACCCGACCTTCAACATTCAAAGTGTCTAAAGAGACCTTGAACTTTCTGGAAAGAATCCAAGGAGACATATGTGGACCAATTCACCCACCTTGTGGGACATTCAGATATTTCATGGTCCTCATTGACGCATCGACCCGCTGGTCGCATGTCTGTCTGCTCTCTTCTAGGAACCAGGTTTTTGCTAGGTTATTGGCCCAAATCATCAGATTACGAGCCCATTTTCCAGACTTCCCATTAAAGACTATACGTCTTGATAATGCTGGTGAATTCACTTCCCAAGCGTTTAATGAATATTGTATGTCCATGGGGGTAAGTGTTGAACATCCCGTTCCACATGTCCATACACAAAATGGATTAGCTGAATCCTTCATTAAACGAATTCAATGGGTTGCTAGACCATTACTCATGAGGTCACAACTCCCGGTCTCAGCTTGGGGACACGCAGTCTTACATGCCGCTGAACTAATACGCATACGACCATCTAGTGAGCACAAATATTCACCATCCCAATTGCTAACGGGTCATGAGCCAGACGTCTCCCATATTAAAACATATGGGTGTTCAGTCTATGTACCCATTGCACCACCACAGAGGACTAAAATGGGACCTCAAAGGAGGATGGGAATATATGTTGGTTTTGATTCTCCCACCATCATAAAATATTTCGAGCCAACTACAGGAGATCTGTTTAAAGCCAGATATGCAGATTGCCGATTTGATGAATCGGTATATCCTAGATTAGGTGGTGAGACAGACAAGCTGGTAAAAGAACTTTCATGGAATCAAACATCCACACAATGGCAAGATCCTCGGACTCTAGAATGTGATTCAGAGGTCCAAAGAATTATACATTTACAAAAACTAGCTAATCAATTGCCAGATTCCTTTGCTGACCCGAACAAAGTTACCAAATCGTACATACCAGCTTGTAATGCACCAGTACGAATAGATGTCCCCTCAAGGAAAAGTCAAGTTGCTACAGAGTCTGACGCACGTAAGAAACGTGGCAGACCACCAGGTTCCAAAGATAAGAATCCCCGGAAATCAAAGAAAGGTGCAATGATTGAAACCGGGATTCAAGAGAACACGGATACAGCCTCAGCTGATACTTACCCTATCGAACCATCTCAAGAGGTTTGGGACGCCAAAACTCAAGGTTCTGAAGGGATTGATAATAATGAGATCTCAATCAATTATATCATATTCGGTTCTCTATGGAACAGAAAAGATGTCGACATCAATGAAACTTTTGCATACAAGGTAACACTTGAGATTGCGCACACGCAAGAGGATCTAGAACCCACGTCTATAATTGAGTGCACTCGTAGATCAGATTGGCTGAAATGGAAAGAAGCCATAAACGTGGAGTTGAATAGTTTAAAGAAACGGAATGTGTTTGGTCCGATCTTAAGGACACCATTCGATGTTAAACCAGTGGGAAACAAATGGGTCTTTGTGCGTAAAAGAAACGAACTCAGCGAAGTCGTTAGATACAAGGCACGCCTTGTAGCACAAGGATTATCACAGAGACCCGGAATCGATTATGAGGAGACTTATTCTCCAGTGGTGGATGCAACTACATTTCGATTCCTCATAAGTCTGGCCATAAGAGAAAACTTAGATTTGCGGTTAATGGATGTTGTAACCGCATATCTTTATGGACCACTGGACAGTGAAATCTATATGAGATTACCAGATGGTATTGAGCTCAAAGATAAGCATGCATCTCGTGATAAACACTGCATTAGGCTGAACAAATCCTTATATGGACTGAAACAAAGCGGACGTATGTGGTATAACCGGTTAAGCGAATATCTCATCAGAGAAGGCTACGAAAACGATCCGATCAGTCCATGCATCTTCATCAGAAAATATCAAAACAAAGGATTTGTAATCATAGCAGTATACGTGGATGACTTGAACATCCTCGGAACATCTGGTGAAATCGCCCAAACAGTTGAATGCTTAAAAGCAGAGTTTGAAATGAAAGACCTAGGCAAAACTAAATTCTGTTTGGGATTACAACTTGAGTACGTCAATGACGGAATCCTTGTGCATCAATTGGCATACACTGAAAAGGTACTCAAGAGATTCAATATGGACCAGGCCCACCCATTGACCAGCCCAATGGTTGTGAGGAGCCTTGGATTGGATAGTGATCCATTCGGTCCAAAGAAGGACGATGAAGAAATCCTCGGTCCTGAAATGCCATACCTCAGTGCCATAGGAGCATTAATGTACTTGGCTAGTCACACTAGACCAGACATCTGCTTTGCCGTGAGCCTCTTAGCTCGCTTTAGTTCGTGTCCAACTCAAAGGCACTGGAACGGTATTAAGCACATCCTTAGATACCTTCAAGGTACTAAGGACTTGGGATTATTTTATTCTAACCATAACAAGGATGGTCTAGTTGGTTTTGCTGATGCAGGATATTTGTCAGATCCGCACTGTGCCCGGTCTCAAACCGGTTATGTTTTCACGCATGGAGGAACAGCCATATCTTGGAGATCCATGAAGCAGACTATTGCCGCTACCTCATCCAACCATGCGGAAATCTTGGCCATCCACGAAGCTAGTAGAGAGTGTGTTTGGTTGCGGTCCATGACTCAGCATATCCGATCAGATTGTGGTATGGACAAAGATAAGGAGCCTACGGTGATGTATGAAGACAATGCAGCTTGTATCGCTCAACTCAAGGACGGCTACATCAAAGGTGACCGGACGAAGCATATTCTGCCCAAATTCTTCTTCACTCATGAGCTGCAGAAGGATGGTCAGGTCAAGGTTCAGCAAGTCCGATCAAGCGAAAATTCAGCCGATCTATTCACTAAATCATTACCGACTTCTACACTCCGGAAGCTCATTCATCAGATAGGAATGCGTAGACTTAGAGATCTACAGTGATGCCTAAACCAGGGGGAGTAATGCGTATTATACTCTTTTTCCTTCACCATGGTTTTTCCCACTGGGTTTTCCTGGTAAGGTTTTAATGAGGCAACGTTCCCCAGCGCATTATAGAGATCCCGGTTTTGTGACAGGCACGGTTACCTTGTCCAAGGGGGAGTGTTATAAACAAATGGACTTCTAGTAACCGGCCCATTAACCATCAGGTTAATGTCTCATGGCCCATTAGGGTTTCTGATACATTAGTTATGTAATGTATATATACACTGCTTGTGGAAATAATAAGATTAGAGTTTTTCCCTTAATATTTAACCTTTTTTTTACATCAAAATAGCACAGTTTCATCAAGTTTTAAGGAAAAAAAAAACTTTTTTAACGAAGAACCAATCATGCACCAACAAACTTATATAAGAAAAAAGATATCAGCGTGCTCTTGCCCTTTTGGCGAGGCAATCCGCACCACCATTGTTACAACTAATATAAGTAATATGAAGAAGAAATTAAAAAAAAAAGTCTTAAGATTCTGAAAATCTGTTCACTTTGTTGCGAAGGTAAGCTACTCTGACGGGTTATTCAGCAACGTAATCAATTCGGTACAGTCCAAGCCCCAAGGCAAATCTAGCCCTGGCGCTGGTAAAAGAAAAAAAAAAAAACTGATATTAGGTATTTCATGGCCCAAAGAAAGATTTTACTTGAGAGTGTAGGTGAGACAAACATCTGCCATAACTTTCGAGACTAACTGAATAATCTTATCTTCCTCCACATTGATCCAATCAGACCCGCTTAAAGTTCCAGAGCCATGCCATGAGCCATCATGTTGACATTCTCGTGATAGAGGAGTGGTATATAAATTGTTAGCAGAAAATTGATGATAGGTCCTTCCTCAGAACTAAGAGATTGTGAACACTAAGAACACAATAAGAACAACACAACACAGCTTTTTTGGCAAAATTTCAGTCTGCTTCATTATCTTAACCATGAAGCCTTTAAATACACCAAGGGAAACAATTGATCCATCCTACAATTGATCCATTCTACAAACATTTGTTGGCCGAAAAAACTAAACTCCATCAAGTTTTCATTAGAAGCTATAAAATATTCAAGAAACTAGTTTTAATAAATTAATTATTTCTATTGCTAGGTGTATATAATAGAGTGACTTTCAAAACGTAAAAATATAGTATTCAACTATTCATGAATATTAAAAATAATAAAATGTAGTGGAATCACTTTTCAAAAAACATGAAGACAAAATATCATGTCTCTACTCTGTACTCTCTGGAGCTTTTGTTTTGTTGGCCTTCTTAAAGGACTTTGACTGATTGTTATTCACCCTGTGTTATGGTCTAGTAGGTGAATGGTGGTATACTTGAATTGATTTGTAGATTATTGCTAAAAATATTTGTATATTTGAATTTTAAAAATATTTGTAAACTACACAATTTTAGCAATATTTTTAATGATCCAGTGACATGATGTTCTTCAAATTTCTAAATCAATAAAAATTCGAATCGTAACCAATAAATCAATAAGACATGATAATTTTCAGTAAACTGGATTAAGGAAATACGAGTTATTTATTATTTTGGATATTTCTATATTTTCTTAGATTAATTTCTCAAAATCATTGTTGCTTGCACACCATATGTTCGATAGAATGCGCCACACAACACAAAACAAAGATGAACATTCATGGCGTGACCACCTTGTTAACATTCATTATAACACTAACACCAAACCGTAATTAACTTAAAATCTATCGCATATACAAAGAAAAATAGATCCAATTCAAAATCAATCTCAAAACCAACCAAAGCAACATAATTCAAGAGTCATCGCTACTTTCACAATCTTCCTTACCATCTCCACAAAACCCATCTCCCAATTTACAAATCCGTGTCCAAGCATCCTCCTCCACCGGAACAACAGACAACCTCGGCTGTCTAAACAAAACAAAACCCTTAATCCCTTCCTCTCCTTTCATCTCTTTTAAATCAACAAATCTCCGCATCTCTCCGACAGCTTTAACATCCACCGCTCCTTCTCCGTTATCATCATCATCGGAGTACCATTCACGCGTCACTTCCACAACGCCCACAACGCATCTCGATTTTGTCCCAGAGTGGTAGAAGAAACAGAGGTCGCCTAAAGTCATGGACTTGAGATTCTTCTGGGCTTGTTTGTTCTTGACGCCGTCCCATTTGCTGATGCCGCCGTTCGCTTCTTGGTCTGACCATGACCACTCGCTTGGCTCTGTTTTCAGTAACCAGTATCGCTTCGTTTTCCCCATCTTTAGATATTTTTCTCTTTCTTGTTTAGAACTTTTTTTTTTCTTTTATAGATTACTAATAATTTATCTTTTATGCTACTTTACGTTTGGGCTTGAACACAGTCAAACACTAAAGCACGAAAAAGGGCGGGAGAAAAAAGAACCAAGGGCAAAGGCGAGCGGTAAAAAGAACCAAGGCTCCGTTCTATTCACATTAACCAAATTTATAATCCATCTTATTTAAACAAACTAATCCATCTTATTTATTGTTTTCGTCTTTTTATTTTTCTGGTTTTTTTTATCTGTATTCTACATTTTCACATTTTTATACTTTGTCATTTTCATTTGGTCTCCTTCCTCATCTTAAATAAATTTTTTTTATATTTTCCAAAATTTCTTTCATCAATTTCATCTTTTTTTCCCTCCATTTTTTAATCTTTTCTTTTCATATTTCTTTCAATCGTCTTTGATTTCTACTTTTTCTTATTTATCCTTTTTGTTTTCTTCGTTTTTTTTTCTTATTTTTTTTCTTTTATTTCAAGTTTTCTTCGTCTTCTTCTTCCGATTTTTTCTATCTTTTATTCTTACTTATCTTGTATATGTATTCTTCCTCTTATACTTCATCTTCATCTTCATCTTCATCATTTTCTTTATTTTTTGGTTTTTTCTCTTTCTCCTGTTTTTCTTACTATTTTTCATCGTCTTTGACTTTTTTTTACCATCATCATTTTTTCCAAATTTTTTCTAAGTTTTTACTCTTTTTCTTTTTTTATAAAAATATTAATTATAAAAAATATGTCAATTAGTTGAGGCATTAACTTTAGTATTAATATTCTTTCTTTTTAAAATAAAAAATAGTTATCATTTTAAACTGCATAAATTAATTAAATCATTAATTTTATTTTTTTTGGCTGATGTGAACACCCTAAATAGAGAGAAAACTCTCCTATTAACTAATAGATTTTTTATTTTGTGAGATATAGAATTCAAAACATGTTGATGACCAAAATACATTGTATTTATTTTTTAGCCATAATTCGAGTACTAAACTACATAAGATACACTAAAACTTATGGGCTAAACTATGGGAGAGAATCAGCAATTTTGGAAGGATACAGTGACACAAAGTGGATATCCAACACCAAAAATTTTAAATCTACAAGTGGATATATCTTTACCCTTGGAGGTGCAACATTATCATGGAAATCTTCTAAACAAATTCTACTGGCCCGATCAACCATGAAGTCTGAATTTCTAGCTTTACATAAAGCTGCACAGGAAACTGAATGGCTCCAAAATTCCTCGGAAGATATTCCAATGTGGGAGAAACCGGTCCCGACAATACATGTACACTGTGATAGTCAATCAGCATCACCCAAGCACTGAATAATCTCTATAATGGTAAATCACGTCATATGAGAAGACGACATAAAACCATTAGCAGCTTGGTCACAACTGGAGTAATCTCAATAGATTACATAAAATCAGCTGATAACCTAGCAGATCCATTTACCAAGAGTCTAGCTGGTGATCAAGTTCTAAGATCATCGAAGGGAATGAGTTTAAAGCCTATGACTTAAGAGGGTGTTTGATGGACACCCCACCTACATGACTGGAGTTCCAAGATTTTAGGTTCAAAAGGAAAAACTAAATCAAACAAAATCTAATGCACTGAAAGACTTATTGTCTTTACCTAATTCCCAAGATGATAAACAGTGCTCACATACAATGCTCATTGTATATCTACAAAGATAAAAATAGCTTTAAATGATAAGAACATAGCTTTGATATATCAGTGGAGTGTTCAAAACACTTTTTAAAACAAAGACTATTGAAAAATCACCTAGTGAGTGTGAAATGAGGTTGTTTCTCGGAGAATAAACATAATAGAGAACTAAATTCTACAAGAAAATGAAACTAGGTTGTACCTGCTGTCTCGGTTTGTCTCGGTTTACATAAAAATCCAGGTAGTTCAAGACATCATGTTTACCTCCTGGCCAAGTAAGCCCGACCGATATTAACATTGAGTGGTTCAAGGTTGAAACACAATACCATCTCAAACACATTGATTTTTTGTTTATACTCTCGAAAGTATATCAAGTCTAGTCAAATCGCGTTTAGTCTAGCCAAGTCTATTTTATCGAGTCAGTCCGGTCTTCGTATGTCTAGAGTTATTACTATTCATGTGGGAGATTATTGGACCAAATTTAATCAAACCTAATGGCTTATTAATTTGGTAAAATGTGAAAAGAAATACTTAAGAGATTATACACTAAGTGGCAAAACTATCTCTGTGAAAAGAAATAATTAAGAGATCATACACTTAGACTGAGAATCAATTTGGTTGTCATTTAGTCAGTCTAAGACTTTTCACTATATCAAGCCTTTTTATCGACTGTTTATTAAATCCATATTATCAAATCAGGTTTTTATCCCAACAATCTTAAACAATTGATATATTTTCAAATACGTAAAAGTATATCATTTGGTTGGTGGTATTTCCTAAGCATTTACATGTGTACTAGGATAGTACTCGTGCTGTGCATGGATTATTGTTATCATTTAGTCCAATATCATAAAGTAGTATAATGACTTAAATAGTATTTAGTAGTTGATGTATTTGAGCATTTTATAGTATTGATATGAATTTTTATTTTTAGTGTATTTTTATTTGAGTTATAAAATTAAATGTGAGATCAAAATAATATAGGAGGATCCATCCCAATCGTCGACTACATTCAAAGGCACCGATCTTGGCTTGAATCTCAATATTATTCCCACACGAATGGGTTCTCTTTCTGTTTCTTCCACTCGAGTTGACGTAGTTGGTGTCTCTAGCCTTGATCAAACTCAATCTGCATTAGAAAAATGTGTGAAATCTTTTTCTACATTGCTTCAGTGCACGCAAATGGCTTTATAGAAGATGCACTACAAGAAAGATCGGGTTTTATGTCGGCAGATATCGACGTAAAATCGACGTAAAACGGCATTTACATCGAATTAGCGACGAATGAAAAATCGTCGTAAAACAATCGTCGTAAACCAGAATTCGTCGTAAAACATATGGAGGCAAACAAACTAATCATAAAAAAATTCAATATTTCCTTAAAAATATAGATTATATAATTCCAAATAAAGAAAAACAATAAAATTATAGTCAACAACCAACATAGAACTTAAGACCAAACAACGTTTCTTTCTTTTCTCTTTTGTGTACATTGATAAATGTCTGGTTAGTTTATACTGCAAATGAAGTGTAAATTAGAGTGTTTCCTTCTCTATTTAACTTCTTGCTCCAACAAAGTAAACTTCTTCCATATCTCATCTAAATCACTAAACTCAAAACCTTTAGATCACAATTCTTAAGCTTAATGGTTAAACAAAAACTTCTAAAAGATAATTAACAAACCAAGCAATATTTAAAGGTAAAAATGTATATCATATTAAGGTTAAGCTTAAGTCCTAAGAAAATGATATGATTGATTTCATTTTGTCGAGGAACATGTAGATGCGTAAAGACATATTCCTCATCTAGTCATTTCTGTTTTAATATATAGTGATTCGTCAACATAAATTCAAATTTCTGAATGTCATTTTTACCATACTATTTTTCCTTTATTAAATTTCAATATTCCGTTATTAGATTAAAATATTTATTTTAGTTCGAATATATAATAGATAAAAAATATTGTAAAGTCATATTCTCTACAACATTTTCCTAAAAATATATTAACAGCATAAAATTAAAGTTTATATGAAACACTTCTCTAATAGAGTGAGTAACTTCTAGCTGAGAATAATTGTATAAGTCATATATCATCAAAAACTTTTGAATCAAGCGCAAGCTAATGAGTTAAAGTCTTACCGGTAGGGTGAGTATTCATTGGATACATAAAAAAATAACTCAACTATTATCATCTGTATACTGGTTATACAAAAAATTAACCTCGAATTTCTCTTATCAATTTTTCATTTGTAATTTCATATTTAAAATGTTCTTTTGTCACCATCTTTATCATTTTTCTGTGTGAAACTTTGAAAAACATTCTTTTATTTTAAAAGTAAAACATTAAAGATCTTTAGTTTACTTTGAAATTCTAAAGTTCTAATATATCCAATCAAAAGTTATACACTTTTAAAAGTCTAAAAAAATACATAAATTTTGTACAATCTAACTTCGCATTTTTGTGCATGAGATGTTTTTATTTTATAAAAGCCAACTAAATTAGACCTTTTAGAAAAATGAAAAAGAATGTTTTATAAAAAGAAATGAAAAATCAAAACTCCATTAATAGAGAGAGACCAATCTTCAATATTCCAGCTCAATCCACCAATAACTATAAAAACATTTAAATAGTAAAATAAAACCTTAAAGCAAGTGAAGAAAATGAAACAAAGTCAGATGGTTTTATTTCTTAACTTTTGCAATAACAATTGTTTTGCATTTATAGGACAATACAATCAAGAAGGGAATTAATAAGTGTCCTACTTGCAGAAGCATCAATATTGCTCAATAATAATTCGTTAGTTGCTTCATGTGAGATGCTCAAATTTTGTTGGAAGAGAGAACTGACAAGACTGAATCTTCGATGGGCTTGGAGTTGCACATTTCCAATTTGACTTCTTTTTCAGTTGGGTTTCATAAATAGTTTTGACTTAATAGTAAAGTTCATCTCTAGCAATGACATTAGAATATTCTAAAACAAAATACAAAAAAAATTGATCATAACGTTTAGATAAAACATATGGAATAAGAAGAAAAATATCAATTACCTGGAAAACTTTACCACATGTAAGACTACAATAACAAACATTAATAATCGATAAATTTAGAATTAGAAGACAAAACAATTTGCATTTTAGCAAAAAATAGTTTGTTTTTGTCTGTTTTAGAGAAATTCAAACAGCACATTATCAAAATAGTTTAGAAATGTACAAAAATGATCTCTAAAACACATAAATGCTTACAAATTCAGTGTAATGGAAGATTTGACTTACATAAGGCATAAATTATAATTGGACTTACTCCTGTCCGATATACAAGTTCAATCATTTTTAACTCCACTTTAGAGAATTTAAATATAGAAGAATAAACTATGAGCTACTGAGATATCAAAACATTATTTTTACAGTAAAATAATTAAAGAGAATAATCCTATGAGCAAATCAAAGGAAGTTAATTAAGAATTCCACAAAACTCAAAACATTATAAATGTTGAAATTTTTTTTCTCTTTTGAACAAATGTATAATGTGAAGACATATGCCACATATGGTTTTCTTTCTCGTTGCACTAACATTATATTCGACCTCTGTGTAAAAACACACTGATTCTAGAAGAAAAATAACTGAAAAACAAAAATATCAAATGGATTAAAATTTTTAAACACGCAAAAAAAGAAGGTAAAATAGAAACAATGAGAATGAAAAAAACCAATAAACTACTTATATAGGCTTATAATATAGAGGCTTAGATTTAATAAATAAATATAAATTCAAATCAAATAAATGGAAAACATAATATTATAAATGAAGATAGATAAATACAAAATATTGAATGTAGTTATTATTTACCAAAACCATAGCACAAAAATATTAACAAAAACTAAAATCATAAATATTTTCCTATTTTTCGAGTTATAATAATACCTGGTTGATTGTTTTAGATAGAAATTCAGAATAAAAAAAAAATGATTGAGATGTAAACAACCATATTTGGTAATAACTAAACATGTTAAGATAGATTAAGGTAATTTCGATTAATTTAGTTCGCAATAATATATTTATTCGAATAATTTTTTTATCATAATAAACATATACTCTGAAATTGTAGAATTCTTCAAAAAATATCATTGGTATTTTAGGTAAGTTTTTTGAAAAGTTTCCATGTTTTGCAGATATACCAATTAATAAAACTTGAATCAAAAGTTTAAAGAGTATATACCCTGCATACTAACTACGATGGTATAATTGTTTTTATTCAAATTTGTATGTACTTTAAAATACACTATTAATCATGAAAAGTTACCAGTGTTCCTTCCACTTTTTTTTCTGGTGTATCAATAAAAAAGGGTGTCACCAATGAATATCTTCGCGGTGGTGAGGCAACCACATCTCATATAGTTGTAATCTGTTGACATATCAAAAAAAAAAAATCTTACTCATGATTTGTTTGTTTATGAAGCAACAAAATTATTCATATTATTTAAGATTATAGTTAGATAAATCGAACAAAAAGATTAACATTTTCATGATAGAGATGGTGAAAAAGCAGGATCTAATACGCCTGGCTTCCATCTAATGATTAAATCATGTTAAAGTCACAAAAATAGGGAAGAAATAATTTAACCTATAAAAGAAAGTTTTGTCATAAAACTTGAAAAAAAACTTACATATTCATGGAATAATACAGATTATTTTGATTTATCAAGACTCTATTGTCTCATATGCTGAGTATATCAACACCGAGTCGTCAATCATACCTACATAGAATCAAATACCTACATAAGAAAATATGTAAAGAGAAAAGAATGATGAGAATGACACCGGTAAAATGTAGATTTATAGAGAAGGAAGCGTACATGAGAAGGTGTTCAATTTAAAAAAATAAAATCAAAATATTTATTGATTAATATTGTTCAAATATATTGTTCAAATATTTCAAAATTAATTAGCAGTGAGATTGATGGCTACATATAAGGAAACAAAGTAATTTAGGATATATTATTCTTCGCCATAAATAGTTTTTTGAACAAAATCTCATTCATTTTTGAAAGAAGTAATCATAACTAACCAAAACTGAATAAATTTTGATTTTTTTTCTATATAATCTCGAGTAATTTAAGGCTAAAACTTAGGAAATAATATAATATTTAGATAACTGATACCAGAAATAATATTTGGAAACAAATAATTTAAAATAAAATATTGTATCCCTCAGTTATAGCAAATCGCCATTTTTGATAAGATTCTTGATTTATGAATTTATTAACTTAATCGCAAATGACACTACGGATTGCAGAAACGGAAGCCAAACTTTGGGAAGAAGCCCAACAGAGCGAATCGATACCCCAACTGCAAATGGCATACAACCCTTCTATCACCTCTCGCTATGAGGGGGGGTGGTGCTATGTAGATGGGTCTTGGAAAGACACGGACAAAGCGACTGGCCTTGGATGGTACTATTTTAAAAATGGAATGGAGGAGAAAATACTAGGAGCAAGGAATGTACGACGAAGCTTATCACCACTACATGCTGAACTAGAAGCACTTATCTGGGCTATGCTATGCATGACTGCAAACCAGAAGACGGAGGTAGCTTTTCGCAACAGACTGTTCTGAATTGGTGACGATGGTGTCGACACCAGAAGAATGGCCAGCTTTTGATTTACATCTAGAGGAGTTTGTGAAGAGTAAGGAGGCTTTCACCTTTTTTTCAATATCACACATTCCGCGCGCAAAGAATATTAAGGCAGACAACTTAGCACGAAATGCACGAGTCTACCCACATGATGTTATGTATGTTAACTCGGTACCTCCGGTTTGGAGTTCTGAACCGTTCTAGGTATCTAGGCTGTTGACAAAAAAAAAAAATGTATTAACTTAATTAAAAATAGATGATCCCTCCATTATAGCAAACAAATCGCCATTATAGTTTTTTGTTAGATAACTAGGTGAATACCCGCACGTTACGTGCGGGTTTTTCTTTTCAAAATTTTCAAACTTATTTGTTAATATTGTATTCTAAAAAATTATAAAATATTAATACATATTGAATATTATTTAATAATTTAAAGTTATATTAAGATTAATAAATATCATTCAATATTTTTAATTAGTTATAACATAAATTTTTGTTTAACATTTACAGAAATATTAATTGATAGTCAATTAATTAAAAAAATAAAATTAATATAATCATCATTTTATTTGTTACTTGTCAGTATTTTATTATAAATCATTTTAAAAAATTACTTTAAAATACATCTTGAATATTATTAAGTAATCTAAATATTATTAAGTAATCTACAATTATATAAAAATTAAATACATATCTATCAATATTTTTAATTAGTTATAACATAAATTTTTGTTTAACATTTACAGAAATATTAATTGATAGTCAATTAATTAAAAAAATAAAATTAATATAATCATCATTTTATTTGTTACTTGTCAGTATTTTATTATAAATCATTTTAAAAAATTACTTTAAAATACATCTTGAATATTATTAAGTAATCTAAATATTATTAAGTAATCTACAATTATATAAAAATTAAATACATATCTATCAATATTTTTAATTAGTTATAACATAAATTTTTGTTTAACATCTTTAATTAAGAGTCAATTAATAAAACAAACTTTTCATATTTTTTAAGTGTTTTAAAAATTAATATTAAAATTTATTAATTAAAATTTAAAGACAGATGTCAACCTATCACATGCTGATGTGTCAATCATATAGAGAAAGTTGAGCAATTTTTATATATAAGATGTTGTTGTTAAATGTACTCAATTTTCTATTTCTCTTTCTAATAAATCAAAATTAATAGATATGTTAGATTAATAATTACTTTATTTTAGAGTTTTGTACTTTTGTTTATCTAAGAAACTAATTCAAATTCAAATAATAATGGAATAAAAACAAATAAATTCAAATACTAAAAAAATAATTACTGGAATGACGTTTTTTAGGGAAAAAAATAAATGATAGGTTAATATAGGTTTATATTTATTTTTAAATTTAATATAAAGTACGTACCTATCTATAAATGTTTAAATTATGCAAATGGTTCTCCAACAAAAAAGTTTTTTTATGATTTGAATTTAATTGATTTGGAGGAATATTCTGGTATATTTTATTATAATTTAAAAAATAAAAATAAAGAATAAAATATTACACAAATAATTGTACGAATTAGCTAAATAAGGAAAACAAAATATAGAATATAATATTTTTTTTAATTAGAAAATGCTGAGAAAAATTGTGGGAGCGATACCTCAGAAAAATAGACTCTAAATTCTAATTGTTTAATGTATAGAAGATTTTGAAAAAAAATTAATAAATTAAACATAGTAATCGTTTGTCATATTTTGATTTTTTACATTCGATTGCATTGAAATTTAAATTATTATGTACCTTTTTGTGTTATAAATTAAGTAGATGCGATTAAAATGATGAATTTTAAAATAAAAATAAAAAGAATATAATTGAATTAAATAAGGAAAATACATAAAGAATAAGTAATTAAGAATTTAAAATGTAATTGGCCGAGGGAGCTAAATAAAGAAAAAGAATTAGGTGGAATAGAATGAATTATTTAAATAAAAAAGGCTTAGAAAAATTGTGGAAGCGACACCTCAGCAATATGGCCTCTAAATTCTTCCTATTTAATGTATACAGGATTTCACTTTTATTTAGTAAGCTCGTGCCATTTGACAAATAAAATAAAAAAAGTTTGAGCCAGGTGGGAAATAAAAGGCCCAGCAGTATCAGTGGGTAGCCGAAGAGAGTTGCAGAGAACCCAAAAAAAAAAAAATCTCCCGGTATCAAAAGGTTCTAAACCTTCATAACGAAACCATTTTCACCTAAAATCTCTCCTTCTCTCTATAAATATTTGCTTCCGATTAGAAATTAGAAACCCTTTCTTCTCTTCAATTTCGGATTTGACTCATCGTTATATCTCAGTCTCCCTCTCCCCTTCTTCCCTGATTCTTCGTCTCCGAGACTCCGATTTGATACTCGATATCATCTTTCTCTCTTGTTATCGTTCGCTATTTTGCTTCCGGCGAAGAAGCAGTTCCCCAAATTTACCCGTTGCGTTTATTAACGGAGAAAGAAAGAATCTTTTGAGGAATCTTTTTGTGGGTATTAGCGAAATTGATTTGGGGAGATTGAGTCGGGTGTTTGGGGATTTGAAGAAATTAGGTATGAGAGTGGAAGGGGATAACATGGTGCCTCGAGGAAATGAAACAGACGACGAAGTGGTTCTTGATACGACGTCGTTTGAACAAGCTCAGCAGCGGCAGAAGCAACTTGTTATTGGGTATGCACTGACGACTAAGAAGAAGAAGAGTTTCTTGCAACCCAAGCTTGAAGTTCTTGCTAGGTACGAAGCTAAAAGCCATTTCTTGATTTCATCTTTCTCTGCACTCGAAGAATTGTGTAACACTCAGTGGGAACTATCGTTACTTTGATTTATGTCATGTGTCATTTTACATTTTGATTGTTCTTTTAAAAGAATTTTCCGAGTTTTGGCATTTTTCCCTGATTGTTGTTGTTCATGTGTATGGTCAGTTTGGTAGATTGTAGTGGATGTCACTGTTTCTGTATTTGGTTTGATTGCCATTTGCCATGTTTTATCCATAATCGAGTGTTTGTGGCATTAGGAATCTCTTGTTTCTGTGGGAATATTCCTTTATATAAATCCTTTAGGTTCCACTTGGAAGGTCAAAATGTCTTTCAGGGTTTGACTTATGATTTAAAAACTAAATATTTTTGTGTCTCTTACTTTTTCTTTTGGATATCTTCTTAGCTACTTGTGTAGACTAGTCAAAACAGTACACAGTTCTCTTTAAAATAGTAGATGTTTTTAGTTATAAACCTCTTAAAAGAAAGATCTGGCAATAGTGTTTAATTTGCTGATCAAAAGGGATTAAGAGATGTTGTTTTTCTTTAATTGTTAGCTTTCTTATTCTGTCGTTCTTTTCCTGCAGCATTTTAAAGAAGAAGCTGACTTTTAGCTATTATTCTTATTTATAGGCAAAAAGGCATTTCCTTTGTTTCCATTGACCAGGAAAAACCACTCTCGGAACAAGGTCCATTTGATGTCGTTCTGCATAAGGTTTGTGTGGCACAATAAGCAAATTTACATTAGCTCAGTGTTTCATACTCGGGGGTTTTGTCCTTCAGTTGTTGGAAAGTTTAGTTTCTCATGAGATTTAATCGATTATATGATTGTTTGCTTGCAGCTACTGGGAAACGCGTGGCACGAGGTTATTGAGGTTCGACAACATGTCTGCCTATCCTGTAATATTTTTCTCGTTCATGGAACTACTGATGCTAGTTTGAATCCATTCATGTGATTCTTACAACTATGGTATCAGTCAATTTACCAATTAGAAATGGCAACTTGGAAATGTACAGCAACTTGGTTCTGACCTTGTTCGTTTATTCAATTAAAGTAGGATAAGTGTTGAATAAATGAGTGATAACTGAGACATCATGTTTACACAGTACCATCAAATCCTCTGTTCCATAACTTACAAAAGCAGCTTATGTTTGCGTCTCTTATGTGTGCTTGTAGGATTACCAGCAAAAACATCCAGAAGTGACCGTGCTTGATCCTCCAGGTGCAATCCAGCGTATATATAATCGACAATCAATGCTCCAGGGTATTGCAGATTTAAATCTTGCAGAATGCGATGGTACCTTTTATTTAACAGTTGCAATCCTTGTTTATTCTTTAGAGTAGGATACTCTTAAACGTTTTTCACGAAATGATGTTATGTTTCCTTTGTAGGCATGATATGTGTTCCAAAACAAATGGTTGTCTTAAAAGATACAACATCTAGTGCTAACGAAGTTGAAGAAGCTGGTTTAAAATTTCCACTAGGTATATATATTCAGATATAAAGTTTTAATTCTGAAACATCTTCCCCTCCAATGGCTACTATGAAATCTTTGGAACTCAGCTCTCTTATTTATTATTTGGATGCTTATGTTTGTATATGCTTACAGTTGATTAAAAAATTCTTTTGTTTACTACTTGTCCAGTTGCAAAGCCACTTTTGGTCGATGGAACTGCAAAGTCACATCAGTTGTTCTTAGCCTATGACCGTCTCTCGCTTGCAGAACTTGAACCCCCTTTGGTTCTTCAAGAATTTGTAAATCATGGTATCGGATTTACTTACACTTGTGATATATCTCTTGAATCTGTAACGCGGCCTTGACACACTTGTATGCTTGAAGGTGGAGTTCTCTTCAAGGTTTTTGTTGTTGGTGATGTGATAAGGGTGGTCCGACGATTCTCTCTGCCAAATGTAAGCAACATTGAAAAATCAAAAGTTGCTGGTGTATTTCAATTCCCAAGGGTATCATCTGCTGCAGCTTCAGTTGACAAATCAGACTTGGACCCTCGTGTTGCTGGTTAGGATGTCTACCTTTCCACTTTATAATTAGACTTATTGCATTGGACTTGTGTGCTTATGTGTTAATTGTTGCTGCAGAGCTACCTCCAAATCCATTGCTCGAAGGGCTTGTGAGAGAATTAAGAAGCCGATTGGTATGAATCAAATGCTTTGTATAAATGGATAGAAACTATAGCTGTTTCCCATTGTAAGCGTCTGATTTGTGTTGTGTTGCTGCTCGTAGGGACTTAGATTGTTCAACATAGACATTATCAGAGAACATGGGAGCAAAGATGTGTTTTATGTCATTGACATCAACTATTTTCCTGGCAAGTTTCTTTACTTCTTATGAAAACTCTCTGTGGTGGCTCCATCAGATAATGTCAATGTTATTGATTTGCGGATTCAATTGTAGGGTACGGGAAGATGCCGGATTACGAGCAGGTTTTCATCGATTTCTTCCTGAGTCTGGCGCAAGCGAAGCTTAACAAGAGATAGTATGTGAAAAATGGAATAAAAATGTGAAGGAGGTTGAAAGTTATTAAAACTCGTTGCGTTCTGCAATATTGTGTTATGTACAGAAAATAGCTTTTCCATGTTGCTAGCAGTAGCACATAAACAAGTTTTGATTAGTGATCACATACATCTGTGTATCTTTCTCCATCTGTTCTTCAAAATTGATTTTGACAATTTGAGAATTTAGGGATTAGAGTTAATAAATATAAAATTTAAGAAATTAGAATTAATTCTCAATCCTAAAACTCTAATCCCTAAATTCTAAACTTTAATTCATTAAGCTTTTTAAAAATATTAATATTTTTTTTTCCTCTACCCAACTATGACAATCACATTTGGCCTATCATAGAAGTGGTTTGTGGACTATCTTCGACCGGCTCGGTATGATCAATTTGGGAAAAAATAACTCTTCTTGTTCGAGCTCCTTTTGCAAGACTATCTGCCCGGATATTTTGAATTCGCAGAATATGCGATAAAGTGAACTCTAAGAAGCTCTCGTGAAGTATACGGAAGAATACCAACTCTGTCATAAAAGACGGCCAATCTGCTGGTGATTCACACATACTCACAAGGTCCGAACAATCAGTTTGAAAATGCACTGAATACATATGTCTTTCTCTCAAGCATGACATATCCCATAAAAGGTAATCCATCTCGGCGTGAAGAGTCGAGAGGCTTCTACGACATCCTTGTAGTCCAAAAATCTCATTCCCTCTGCCATCCTCAAAACTCCACCCAAGGCCGCTAACATGTCCGTGATTGATCCAAGAAGCATCAATCCGGCATATAGGGATCTGCGGTACCTCCGGTAGCAATATCGGGGTCGGAAGGGAGGCCAACGCCTCAATGTGAGCGTCATCGTCGTCTTCAGGATGGTTTGCTAATCTCCAACTTTCCGCTTCCCTCTTTGCGTGGATCAAGGTGTCTTCAGGGGAAATTTCTTTCCCGTTGAAGATTTTCTCGTTCCTTGCTTTCCAAATAAACCATAGGATCCAAGGATATACATCCTTTTGAGGATCTGTCATGCCTTGCTCTTTTGTTTTCCAAAAGAGAAAACTCATATTTTGATAAATAGAGGTACTCAGGAAGACACCCGGAAGGGACGGAAAATCTGATAACGCCCAGACTTGTAAGGCCGGGAGACATAAAAACAGTAGATGGTTTATAGACTCCTCAGGATCCCCACAGCGAGGGCAGCGTTTTTCTGAGCCCATATGTCGGTATGTGAGGTTCTGGCATGTAGCAACGCACCCTGATAAAGATTGCCATATATAGTGTTTCATCTTTCCAGGTAACAGACTTTCCAAACATGTCGTTGGAGGGCCGTGATACTCGGCTCCCTCATCGCTCCAGCTTCCCGTTCTAGCTTCGTCCTTCGAATCAGATCATATCCCGACTTAACTGAATAAAGTCCCGATTTGGAATGATTCCATGCATATCCATCCAAGGTACGGGTACGGCTAGGTCTCAACCCGAGGATAAGGGAGACATCCTCAGGTTGGAAAAATTCTCTAAGTAGGGGAACATCCCATTGCTTTGTATCTTGATGGATGAAGGAATATACCAAAATTCCCGGATCCTGGAATCCGATCTGCGGGGCGGCTCTTGGTGGCCGAGCTTTAAGATCCGGGATCCACAATTTGCTCCAAACTCTCGTATTTAGGCCCGATCCAATCGTCTTCCTCAAGCCCATCTTCAGGAACGGTTTTGCGGCCATTATACTCCGCCACCCATAGGATGGTAAGTAGACGTTTCGTTCCTCTAGAGGATCGGATTGTCTATAGTATCTACCTCTTAAAACTCGAGCCAAGAGGGATGAAGGGTACTGAATAAGTCGCCATAGCTGTTTAGCTAGAAAGACTAAGTTAAAATCTTGTAAATCTCTAAATCCAAGGCCTCCCATATCCTGGAGAATGCAAATTTTATCCCAGGCAATCCAGTGTATCCCGCCGCTATTCTGCTTTGAGCTCCACCAAAAATTGGCTATAGCACTCCGCAATTTATCTGTCACTCCTTGGGGTAATAGAAAGCATGACATGACATAGGTTGGAACTGCTTGTGCGACCAATTTTATTTGAATTTCTTTTCCACCTTTGGAAAGAAGTCTTGCAGACTAATTATTGACTCGATTACTCAGGCGGTCATGAACATAAGAAAACACCTTCCTCTTTGATCCACAAATTTGTTCAGGGAGGCCCAAATACATACCCATGCCGTCCTCCGATGAAATTCCGATGGCATTCTTGATACCTTGCTTCAAAAACGGGTCCACTCTATTCCCGAACATGATGGATGATTTTCCAAGCTTAAGTTGTTGTCCCGAGGCTGATCCATAGGTATTAATAATCCTGAAAATCTCAGCTCCCTCCCGGATATCCGCTCTACAGAAGAAAAGGCTATCATCGGCAAAAAGAAGGTGTGAAACCGGTGGACTCGCTTGAGCTACTTTCAGCCCAGAAATACGTTTTTCCTCCTCTGCTCCATTGAGTAGTGAGATAAGAGCCTCAGTACACAGAATAAAGAAGAAGGGAGAAAGAGGATCTCCTTGCCGCAATTCTCTTGATGGAATGATTTTTCCCTTCGGTTCTCCATTATAAGGACTTGGTATGAGACCGAGGAAATGCAAAACATCAAGAGTCTGACCCATCTCTCAGAGAATCCTAGCTTGATCATAAGGGCTTCAAGGAAGCTCCATTCTACCCGATCATATGCTTTACTCATGTCTGTCTTGATGGCCATGAAGTTTTCTCTACAAACGGTGTTGGTACAGAGGGCATGAAAATTTTTTTGTGCCAACAGAATGTTGTCTGTTATAAGATGCCTAGCTATGAAGGCCGACTGAGTTTCCGAAATTAGATCTGGTAATATCCTCTTTAGTCTTTTACACATAATTAGCTTAGAGATAATTTGATAGCTTACGTTACAAAGACTAATCGGGCGGAATTCCGTCATTGCTCTTGGCTTTTTTTTTTTGGGGATAAGACATATGTTAGTCTGATTAAGTCTAGGATCAAAAATCCCAAAACGAAAAAATCTTTCACCAATTTAACTATATCATGGCGGAAATTCTGCCAGAATTTTTGATACTCCCTCCGTTTCACAAAGAGTGTCGTTCTGACATTCCTCACACAAATTAAGAAATAAAATAAAAGGTCTCTTATACCCTTATTAATTTGCAGAGAATGACTCTTGGAATTATATTTATTTATTAATTTTTTTTTGTCAGCAACCCAAGATTACATCACGTGTGGCCAGCCGGAGTAAGGCTCCGAGGAACCTCTTCGACTAGCTCGGTATGATGGATATGGGAGAAAATGATGCTTCTAACTCGGGCTCCTTTAGCAAGACTATCCGCCCGGATGTTTTGAGATCTAGGGATGTGAGATAAAGCAAATTCCGAAAAGCTTCCACGAAGGTTTCCGAAGATTTCCAGCTCCGACCTGAAGATTGGCCAATCCGCCGGAGATTCTGACATGCTTACAAGGTCTAAACAATCAGTCTGAAAGAGAACCGAAGTAATCTGTCTTTCTCTCAAGCATGACATCGCCCATAGTAAGCAATTCATCTCTGCATGAAGAGCGGAGAGGCTTCTGGGGCATCCTTGTTGACCGAAAAATTCTCCACCTCTTCCGTCTTCCAAGGTCCATCCGAAGCCGCTGACCGGTCCGTGATCAATCCACGAGGCGTCGATCCGGCAAAATAGAGTCCGCAGAACCCCGGGTGTAGGTGTCAAGGGGGGAAGAGGCACGAAGTGTTCCTGAACTACTTCCTCGTCTTCCTCTGATTGATTTGCGATTCTCCAGCTTTCCGCTTCCACCTTTGCGTGGATCAAAGTATATTCCGGGGAGATTTCTCTCCCCTTGAAGATTTTATCGTTTCGTGCCTTCCAAATATACCATAGGATCCAAGGATAGACATCTTTTTGTGGATCTGTCATGCCTATCTCCTTTGTTTCCAAAAGGAGAAAGCTCATATTTTGATAAATAGAGGTACTCAGGAAGAAGCCCGGAAGGGACGGGAAGTCCGATAACGCCCAGACTTGTAAAGCCGGGAGACATAGAAATAAAAGATGGTTGATAGACTCTTCGGGGTCCCCACAGCGGGGGCAACTCCTGTCCGAGCCCAAGTGGCGATAAGTGAGGTTCTGGCATGTAGCAATGCACCCTGATAAAGTTTGCCACATAAAATGCTTCATCTTCCCAGGGGTACGGACTTTCCATACTTGTCTTTTGAGGGCCGTAATGCTCGGTTCTAAGACTGTTCCGTCTTCTTGAGCTAATCTCGTTCTTCTGATCAGGTCATATCCAGACTTGACTGAATAGAGTCCTGACTTCGAGTGGTTCCATGCATATCCATCCAAAGTTCGAGTTTGGCTAGGTCTCAACCCAAGGATGAGAGACACATCCTCCGGTTGGAAGAATTGTCGTAGAAGGTGGATATCCCATTGTTTCGTATCTTGCCGGATAAAAGAGTAAACCAACAATCCCGGGTCTCGATATCTCATGATTGGGACGGCAATTGCCGGCCGAGCTCTGGTATCAGGGATCCATGGTTCACTCCACACTCTCGTGTTTAGGCCCAATCCTATCGTCTTTCTAAGTCCCATTTTTAAGAATGGTTTTGCGGCCATAATACTGCGCCATCCGTATGATGGAGAGTAAACATTCCGGTCCTCTAAAGGGTCTGATTGTCTATAGTACCTGCCTCTTAGAACCCGTGCCAAGAGAGATGAGGGATATAAAATAAGTCGCCATAGCTGTTTAGCTAGAAGGGCCAAATTAAAATCTTGTAAATCTCTAAATCCAAGACCTCCCATTTCTTTGGGGATGCAGATTTTGTCCCAGGCAATCCAATGTATCCCACCGTTATTTGGTTTTGAGCTCCACCAAAAATTAGCAATGGCACTACGTAATTTGTCCGTTACCCCTTGTGGCAATAGGAAGCATGACATCACGTAAGTCGGGATGGCTTGGGCAAACGATTTTATTTGAACTTCTTTTCCCCCTTTGGAAAGAAGTCGTGCGGACCAGTTGTTGACTCGGTTGCTCAGGCGATCATGGACATAGGAGAATACTTTCTTTTTTGATCCGCAAATTTGTTCTGGGAGACCCAGGTACATACCCATTCCCCCTCCGAAGTAATGCCAATGGCATTCCTGATACCTTGTTTTAAGTTTGGATCCACTCGATTCCCGAACATGATGGAGGATTTACCCAGGTTAAGCTGTTGTCCCGAGGCTGACCCATATGTGTTAAGGATCCTGAAAATCTCAGCTCCCTGCTGAAGCTCCGCTTTACAGAAGAACAAGCTATCGTCAGCGAAGAGGAGGTGTGAAACTGGTGGACTTGCTTGGGCTACTTTTAGCCCAGATATACGCTTTTCTTCTTCTGCTCCCTTGAGGAGTGAGATAAGGGCCTCTGTGCACAGGATAAAGAGAAAAGGAGAGAGAGGGTCTCCTATACGTAAACCTCTAGATGGGGTGATTTTACCCCTCGGTTCTCCATTTAAAAGGACTTGGTAGGAGACTGAAGAGATGCAGAACATCAATAATTTAACCCATCTTTCCGAGAATCCTAGCTTGATCATAAGGGCTTCAAGGAAGCTCCATTCTACTCTATCATATGCTTTACTCATATCTGTCTTGATGGCCATGAAACTTTCTCTACACACTGGGTTGGTTCTTAAGGCATGAAAGTTTTCTTGGGCCAACAGAATGTTGTCTGTAATAAGGCGTCTAGCCATAAAGGCCGATTGGGTTTCCGAGATCAAGTTAGGTAGAACCCTTTTTAATCTGTTACACATAAGCTTCGAAATGATCTTATAGCTTACGTTACACAGACTTATTGGCCGAAATTCTACCATTGCTCTGGGCTTATCTTTCTTAGGGATAAGGCATATGTTTGTTTGGTTAAGTCTAGGATCAAAGGACCCCGATGTAAAAAATTCGGTGACTAAATTCACTATATCATGGCGGAACTCCTGCCAGAATTTTTGATAAAATTTACATGTCATTCCATCCGGGCCGGGCGCTTTATCCGGATTGATATCGAAAAGTGCTTTTTTAATTTCTGCCTCTGAGGGCTCCTTTAGCAGAAATTGATTGGATGATTCTGTTACTTTCTCGGTAATATACCGGAGTGCCGAATCTGGTTCTGTGGGTTGTGATGAAGTGAACAGGTCTTGAAAGTATTGGGATGCAACCCGCTCAATACCCTTTGCGGTTTCTACCCTGTTCCCATTGCTGTCTCTCAGGGCGACTATACGGTTTCGACTCCTCCTTTGTTTGGTGAGAGCATGGAAAAATTTCGTGTTTTTATCTCCAGCCTTGTGCCACTGTTCTCGGCTCTTCTGTTTCCAAAACATTTCTTCCTCACGAAGAGCGGCACTGAGTTTTCTCCTGATCTCCTCTATCTCTTCAAAAGATGTACTTTCGTCATCCTGTGCTGCGTCTAGCTGGTCTTTAAGGGCGTCTATCATTTTTTCTGAATTAGTTGGTAGGGACTTCTTCCATGTGGAGATACTCTTACGGCAGTTTGCTACCTTTTGATGAAAATCTCGACGTGAGACGCCATCAAAAGAGCCCCAGCCGGAGGTTACCGCTTCTTTAAATCCAGGTTTCCCCAGCCATCTTTTGTCGAATCTAAATGACTTATTACTCCTTCGGTTGTCCACCTGTATCATAGCCAGCACTGGCCGGTGGTCCGACCCCCATAATCTAAGGTACTCCACAATAGTGTGGGAAAAGGTGGATTGCCATACTCCGTTCCCTACAGCTCGATCGAGCCGACATTTGACTTTGCCCGACCGTCTCCTTCCGACCCATGAAAAAGAGTTCCCTTTATATGGGAAATCTAGCATTCCGCAGTGGTCTAGCATGGTTCGAAAGGGAATGAATGAGTATTCCGGTCTCCTCCTGCCTCCACGTTTTTCATGGTTTCCAGTAATCTCGTTGAAATCGCCAATCATGAACCATGCGTCTTTTCTGTGGATGCTCATTCTTGTAAGTCGTTCCCAGACACTGTCTCGGTTTTTTACGACCGGATCTCCGTAGACGAAAGTCATAAAAATTTTATGTCCGTCTAGAGTTGTTTCTATATCAATCAAGTGCTCATCTGAAAAAGTAATAAAAACCGAAGGTTCATCCATATAAAAAAGGGCTAGACCGCCGCTTAGACCTCTCGGTTCAACGGTACAGACATGGTCATAGCCAAAATACATTTGCATATCTTGCATAAATATCCGATTGTTCTTAGTTTCTGATAAAAATAAAAATCGAGGGAAAAAACATTTGTGGAGCTCTTCAAGGTGATCTTTCGTCAAGTCGGCTCCCGCGCCTTGACAATTCTAACCAATCACATTCATTGGGGCCGGTTTGCTGGTTTCTGGGTTCCACCCAAACCAGGAGCAGATGGGCCTTTGGACTTAGGCCCCTTTGTAGACTTGTCATTCTTGGGCTTGCCAGAGTTTACAGCAAATGAACTTGTGCCTGATGAATTTGGGCCTGATCCAGTGGCCTTTCCTTTTCCTTTTCCTTTTGGAGAAGCTCGGCCTTTTGGAGAAGATCAGCCTTTTATCAGATTTCGTTTCTTGAGCGAGATACCCAGATTTGCCGGCGACTTCGGGATACGGTGTCTCCTGCTTGAGTTCCGACCAGTTTTTCCGGCGCCGTCCTCAGAAGGTGGGATCTGCGCGGGAACGTCAGGGCTTCTCCACCATGTCGGCCTCTGATTCCCGGGTTGCTCCTCCACCACAATTTCTCCATCCATCATCGGCTCATCCTTCTCCTCATCCCCGAGATCATCCCCCAACAGGTCGTCTCCTTTCAGAAATTCATCCATTTGCTCTTCATCATACAGATCGTCATCATTGAGCCAGTCCTCATCCTCTCCGATACCCTCCACGGTGGTTGAGGAGAGAGTGTTATCGGGATTGTCATAGTTATCCTCCTCCATAAGCTTTTGATCGTTGATACTTAAATTCCTCTGACATTCAGCTTCCATTTCGACATCTGCCATTTCTTTCTCTCCATTTGCATCTGGAATTGGCAAGTCCTCTTCCAGGGTTTGTTCATACCAACTTTTGGTAAAGAGTGGCTGAGATGGTATCATAGATGTGGTGTGTTGCAGGTTATGGATTGGTGAGTGGTGTGACGAGACTTCAGCGGGAACACCGTCGTCGAAGGTAAGAGCCTTTTTGGCGGAGCTCCCTGCTTCAGATGATTCTCCCACTTCGGCGCTTGATCTGTTCAGACCAGAAGTTTTGCTTAGGAGCTTAAGTCGAAAGGGTCGGCTTCTCACATGCTCAGGTGAGTGGTTTCCTTGCTTGGCTTTTCCGGTGCCAGATCGAGGAGGTAGATCAGAGATTGTTCTCTGTGAGTCCGATGAAAGCTTCGGGATCGGAGGGAGCTTTGCACTAGGCTTTTCTCCCCGAGAATCCTTAAAAGAGCCATAATCTTGACCCTTGTTCATTTCACCTTTCTTTTTACTTGCTGCAAACGATTCTTCATAGCTTCTTTTACGGTACATGATTTCGTTTTTGGCAGGGTGCTCCCTCTGGCGTGGAGCGTGGACTTCCTCAGGATCGAAGCGGCATTCATATCTCCGAGCTTCCGAGCGGTAATCCCTGCTCGTTTCGATCCGATTCCATACACTATCATTTCTTCTGGACTCTTGAGGTCTCTGATCTCTTCTTTCTCTTGGCACCTCAGATCGGTTTACAGTTGCAGTATTTGGAGGGAGACGAGACTCCTCGTGGTGTTGAACACCAGAACTTCTTTCACGAGTAGGGACCGAGATTTGGCCAGCTTGTCTTCTGAGGTTCATGATATCTCTGTCTCGGTTTTGTTCATCTCGGGCAGTGATCGCCAAGTTTCTTTCTGCCTCTCTTTCAAGCATCTTTTCTTTTCTTTGTTCTTCTGAGAGATGAGGGCATGTTCTTTCATCGTGAGAGATATGTCTGCAGGTTAAACACCATCGTTCCAGTTTCTCATACTTGATTTTAACTCTAACCACTTCACCTGATTGAAGGCGTGCCCTTGAGTTGAACTTGAGAGGTGCATCAGCGTTGACGGAGACCTGGACCCTTGCTGCTCTTGCGTCCACTGCTTTCACCTCTCCGAGCACCTTTCCGATAGCTCTGAAGTTATCCTCAAGCCAAAAATGAGTTGGTATCCCTGAGATTCTTGCCCAGAAGACCATGTTACTTGGAAAAGACTCTCCCACATGGGGGATCCACCGTTCCAGAGAGAAAGACCAGCGATTAAAGTGACAAGGCCTCTTGTTGAGGACTCTTTGGAGGTCGGCTTCTGAATCGAAGTCGAATTGAAATCTGGAGTTCCCCAGATCTATACCGTGTACTCTTCCTTCCACATCCCATATGTTGGCCCTCGGCATGAAGGCTATGAGCGCCTCTGTGCTTCTTATGTCCTGGTTAAACATTCTTCCAACCAAGCTGCGGTTGAATCTTGCTATCAGATGCGAGTTATCCACATGGGGGAGTTCAATGATTTCCTCTTCTTCCTCTTCCAGTTGGGGTTGCTTTGAAGCTTGCTTTGACTTATCCATTGTTGTAGTGTTCAGCAGGGGTTCGTGAGAATAAGAGCTTGGAGGGGAGCTTGCTTTGTTTGCGGAAGACAGATCTTCCAACCAGGCCAAAGTCAGAGGGGAGACAGATCCGGATGGAATAACGGAAAAGCAGAGTAGTCTTCTTTTTATATCGCACGATGGCTTCTAAAAACAGAGGTATCTTCTTGGTTCAGTAATCTTGGGGACAAACTTTTATGTTATAACCGGTTTGGACTGTCTTAGCAAAAGCTAGAATCTTGAATGTCTTCTTACTTCAGCTTGGTATCTTTCACAGGGGTTAGGTCTTGGGAATATGATTACACCAGGTCGTCGGTCTTCAGGTGGACTCAGAGAACTCTTTCATTTTGGTGAGGAGACTTGGCGATGAGCAAAGGAGGGGTGATTTCTTGAGGAATCAAGTTTTCCGGTTGTGAGAGGCGGAGGAGACATGGAAGATTACGGTCGGAAAGAGGGAGGCAGCCAGGAAGTTGGTTATTTTCGGTTAGAAATTAGGTTTGAGAAAAAGAAAAAGTAGATCTGAGACAAAATAGGAAAACATTGGTTACAGTGCCTGAGAGCGTTTTTTGACTTGTCATATGACTCTTGGAATTATATTTATAATTAATTTTCTGAATTTATTGAGGTTAAAAATGGTATTTTATGTTAAAATTACATTGGAATTCTAAAACAACATTCTTTTTGAAAAAAAAAAAAAGTGTCAGAACGATACTCTTTGTGAAACGGAGGGAGTAGAATTTACTTGTCATCCCATCTGGTCCGGGGGCTTTATCTAGGTTAATATCAAAGAGTGCTTCCCTAATCTCTACTTCCGAAGGTTCCATATTTATAAAAATATTAATATTTATATACATTATATATATATATATTTATTAAAGATTTGAATAAGTGTTTTAATTACTTAATTTTTCGTTTTTTATTTTTATTTAAAAAATAATATTACATGTCACATTCTAATTAATTCAATTAAGAGGAGGTGAATAAAAGGATTTATTCTTATGGGTGAACCCAAAAATTTTCCTTCTTTTGTTACTCTAACAATATGTTTTTTCTAAAAATTTGCTGGTTTTTTCTGATATTATTTGAATTATCTTTTATTTTTTTTTTTGTGAGAAAGCCTAAAATGATGAGTTTGATTGGTTAGGCTTTAGATTTGTGAATCACCAATCTAAATTATACTAGTAAGAACCATAAAAACTAGAAAGTCTAAAATAGAGAGGCTTATTCAGAAACAAAAGAAGTAGCACTGGAGCAAATTACTCTCGACATTTTCACTTGCAGCTACCTTTTTATGAGATGTTAAAGACGAGGAGAGTCAGATTTGTAGTTCAGAAGTATTATATTGGGTAATTTTCTCTAATTTTCAAATGAATAAAAACAAATATTTATATTAATGATAGATAAAAAATATAAGGAAGAACAAACACATTTATAAATTAAATTTAAGGCCTAAAATGAATAAAAATAAAAATAAAAGCTGAAGAACAGATGCAAACTCAATATTTAGGAAGAGAACATTCCTTGGGGAGCTTGTTATGGAACCTCGCATAATCTTGGCAATAATCATAAATCAAGTGGTATTTCCTCACCCATTTGAACCATCTCTTTTGCACTCTTGTCAAAGAGCTAAACTCATTCTTGTTCCACCAATTTTCACTGCTCTCTTCTCTACATAATTCTGGGTTGCCATTCCAAACACAAGCATCTATCTTGTAGTCCCCAAAGGACGCAACAAATGGACCGTTTGACCAATCAACCTTGTCACGCCCACCGCGTGTAGCCCAACTCTCACCGTTCCATAGACTCGCCTTTACACTCATAGGTTGCAACCTTGGGTAGGCCACGCCTTTCTCCGTGTGGTTTCTGTACAATCTTATAGGAATTTGATCCACCATAAACCTGAAAACATCATTCTTATGCGTCTTACTTCTTGAGGTACGTAGCCAAAGAGATGTTTGTTAAAGAATCTTACACAATTTGGTGAATGTTCCAAAAGATCGAGTAAGTGTGAAAGTCTTTGGTCGGGTCAAACCAGAGATGGATCCTTTCCTCACGGTTATCAATTCCATCGGCATAGATGTTTGTCTGAAGAATGTATGGCTGCCCGTTAACGTTTCCAAGGAACTCAAAGTCTATCTCATCCCGGTTTGTCTGATCCGAGGACATCTGATCAAGTAATTTAAAGATGATTCATTAACATTTTGAGATTCATGCTGGTATCTTGCGTTTTGAAAAATTGTGCCTACTCTTTTACATAAATTCATTGTGTTTTCTTTTTGCTAAATAAATTCTTTGTTGATGTATGATTAAACGCCTATATTCGACAGAATAAATTGAGGCCAGAAGAAAGGTCCGAAACCATAACTTCCTTGGCCTATGCTAATGTTCTGGACCACTTCTACAATATTGTTAGGAAATATATAGGGAGAAAGAAGGTTTCTTACATAATAAGCAACCACGGTTCCCTGAGAAGGTCCGGGGATTAGTTTGATCTTCATATCTATTTTCCCGAACAAGAACATCTGGATGGAAGAAAAGGAAGCTCCTACGTATGCATTTAAAAATCAAAACATAAGTTCTTGATTATGGAAAAAAAAAATCGAAAAGAGTTTGGACGGTAAATTACAATATTATATATAAAAAAAAATATTATATACCAGATTCTTGATCGAGCTTAAGGGTTCTTGATCGACCATCACTGGAGGTGTTAACATGGGTAGGAGACCATGTCACGAGGAAGTCTTCATTGAAATTTCCGGATGAGACAACGGAAGCCTCTGTGACCCATAATAGCAGACATGCGATCAAGAAACCTAGAAGTAGAAATGGTTTTGGGCGATTTATAAGAGTCATTAATTTATTACGATGCATGAGATTAGGTTGGACCTAGGATCATTCAACAGTATATATATATACATATTTTATTTGCATGAAAAGTGTTTGAAGTAATTTGTGTTCCTAAACAAAGAATACTTTGAGGAGAAGCAAAGAGAACTACATACTTACGTAGGAATATTTTATTGCTTTCTTTTTCCAAACGTAGGAAGGTTGGTTGTTTGTTTCTTAACAATTCATACTTGCATAATATATTTGCTTTTTAAATATGTGATAGAAATGAATTTATAGGCTTTTTATTTGATCTCCATAGAACCTTCAGTTTGCCTTTTTTATTTGATTATTTTTTAGATTTTATGAAGTAAGCCGCTAGCCTCAGTTTATCCTCTCGCCGTAGCTGGCTAAAACAATTGTAGACCAAAAAAAAGATTAAAGGTAATAAAAAAACCTCATCTGGAAAAGAAATTACGGATCTAAATGGTAAACTGAAATTTGACAGAAATTGATTTTGCACAAAATGTTGTTTTTACAAATTTTTGGACTAAAATAATAAAAAAAAGGATTGTAGCATTAACTAAGTAAGATGTAAAGTTTAAAAACTGATTGTAAACGAGAAAATATACAAAAAAATTGTAACCCATTAAAATCTAAGTCCTTGGTTTTAAAATGGAACTAGATTCTAACCCCGTGCATCCACACGGAAATATTTTTTATTGTTTAACGAATTTTGTAATATAATTTGTGTTTTTGAATTTAGATATAATTATTTTTATAAATATATTTTTTAATAAGCGAAAATATTGATTTTTGTGTTTATATCTATTTTTATAGTATTAAAATTAATTATTATTATAAAAATATAATTTTAACCCATCTGTTAATATTAATTCAAAATGAACTATTATAAAAACATAATTCTAATTTTTCCGTTCATATTATCGTATAATATAAATATTTGTTAAAAGTTTGAGATGTATTAACAGTATTATTTAGCATTATAGTTTTCTAAAAATTTAATCAACGAAGGGAGTGTACAACTGGTTTTCAAACCACATTATAGTGTATGCAATAATTTTTAATTTTTTATGTTTTGATTTTGTATGAAAAATATATTTTCGATATACATGTATAATTCAAAATTAGTGATATTAGTTACCAAAATATTTTTAACCCAATTTTTTATATATATTTTTAGTTCTATAAATTTTAAAAAATATTTTTAATATTTAAATTATACATTTGAATTTTACCTATTATTTTATTATTAATTTGTAAATAAATCATAATCGTAAATATATTATATAAACAACATAAATATCATATCATTTACGTCATTATAAATATTTTATATTTCAAATCTGATCATTATTTTTCATATGTTAATTTTTTTTTTTCAAAAATTCTAGATATTTTTGATAAAAATGTTTAATAGTATAGAAATTATTTAAATTAGAATCTTTAAATCAAATCTAAATTAATATCTGATTTATTAGTTTTAATCAAATCAAATCAAATCTAAATTACTTATATTTAAAGAACTCTAAAAATATTTAAATTAATAACTAATTTTCGAAATTAAATATAAATAATTATTAAAATTATTTTTAAACACTTAAAAAAAATTAGGAGTGTTTGGAAGCAAGTACTAAATGTGCTTCTGTTTTAATATAATAGATTATTAATATAAAAAATCAAAGTTTTATCTTTTGCATAAACTGATTTTATCATCCAAAATTCACAAACTTCATAAATTTCTCTTTTACGAAAAAATGAAATAAAATAGCTCTTAGGTGAAAACTAAACTGTGATTTCATCTTTTATATCTCTTTCTTATTATTTTTTATCCAAACCACCGAATTAGATTTTTGATTTAATAGTTCATTCATTTTTTTTATTTACCAAAGAAATTCCCAACTTTTGATCTACCAAAATAATCCCCAATTTTTTATCTACCAAAATAAACCATTTTAGTTCTAGTGTTAGTACACAATTATTGTTGACTAACACTATGACTAAAAAATCTTTCAAAAATCTTAGGATTAACGGCCTAATATTTGAAAATTTGATTGGTTCATAAGAAAGTTAATTAGTGATATTTTTGAGAATAATTTGTAAAGTTGAAGAGTTTTTGACAATCTTTCCTTATTAGTAAACTTTTTTTTTTTTTGTCAACCTTATTAGTAAAGTCAGATCATTGATATTGTTAGTTTATGGGCTCCAGTCATTTAGTCTCTGGCCCAAATCCTAAAGTTGTTGTTTATTGCAAGATGGACCAAAGCTGTGTACAAACCCACTGCAAAAGAGGAAAATCAGCACTATAGGAATTGGTGATCGTTTGTCCAAGCTACGTATTATAAAAGGAAGAGGACTTAAAGCAAAACTCTAACACATAAAAAAAGAGTCAATGTACAAGCAAGAGAAACAGAGAGAGAGAGAACAACTCAGAGAGAAGAGAATAAAGAAGGGAATCCAAGAGAGCAACGTAGGAAATTTGAGTCTTCCTTGTCGTGTGCTGTGATTCAAAGTTTTTCTTTTCTATTGTTCTGATCTGTGACTTGTATCTGAAACACAAAAGAGAACACCGGTTAGTGCGTTTGTGTATTCTTTGATTGATAGTGGAGGTTGTGGGAAACGGTTCCTACCCCAGTTCCTAACCCAGACGTAGCGGTTCGAGGCCATGAACTGGGTGATCAAACTTTTGTGTTCTTTAAGTTTCTAATTCATCTAATAGATCCTAAGATCTAAGCACTCAGGAGAAGTTAAAAATCCTTACAAGTGGTATCAGAGCAATCCAGGTTTGAGTGCTAGAAGGATCAGATTAGAAACTGAATGATGACGACACAAAAGATGGAGGTGAGCATGTTCGACGGATCAGGTGATTTTTTGATTTGGAAGAACAGGATGCTCGCATACTTAACCGTTCAAGGTTTGAAAGATGTTCTTTCGGAACCGACATCCAAAGACGTGGATGACAAAGATCCAGAGGCAATAAAGAAAAAGAGCAAAGATGACGCTTCAAGGCTGGAGCGAGATGAGAAGGCTTTGAATCTTATCTTTATGTGCGTTGGAGATCATGTCTTAAGAAAACTAGACAAGTGCGTAACCGCAGCTCAAGCGTGGGCTACTCTTGAGAGGCTTTACATGGCAAAAACTTTGCCTAATCGGCTCCATCCTCAGCTTAAGGTGTATTCTTTTAGAATGCAGGATTCAAGATCAATTGATCAGAATGTAGATGACTTCTTGAAGATGATTGCAGATTTGAGCAACCTCAACATTGAGATACCAGAAGAGGTTCAGGCAATACTGTTACTCAACTCTCTTCCCTCTAGGTATGATTCTTTAAAGGATACTCTTAAGTATAGTAGGGAAACTATTCAGTTGGAGGAAGTAGCTAGTGCTGCAAAATCTAAGGAGAGAGAGCTGTCTGAAAATGAAAAGCTTTCAAGATCAGATGGAGAAGGGTTATATGTTGAGGCTAGAGGCAGATCAGAAAAGAGGTCAGAGAATGGAAGAGGAAGGTCTAAGAGTAGAGGAAAGAAAAACAGCAAAGGTTGTTTTGTTTGTGGAGATGAAGGACATTGGAAGCGAGATTGTCCTCATAGAAAGAAACCTGCAGACTCCACAAATGTTGCAACAGATTCAAAGGAACCAATGGTGTTAAGTGTCAGCTCTCAAGATACAAAGAAAGAATGGATTATGGACTCAGGCTGTTCATACCATAGTACACCAGACAAAGAAGTCTTGTTTGACTTCAAGGAGTTTGATGGTGGTAGAGTTTTGCTGGCTAATAACACTCATTGTGACATCAAAGGAATGGGAAAGATTCGGATTCAGAATCCAGATGGTTCTGTAGTGATATTCAAGGATGTGAAATACATACCACAAGTGAGTAGGAATCTTATTTCTTATGGGATGTTAGAGAAATCAGGTTGCAGGTATGAAGGAGGTAACTTCAAAGTTCAGTTCTACAAAAGGCAAGAAGAAGGTGATATCTGGAAAATACCAAGGTGGTTTGTATTATCTTCAAGGCACAGTTTCTAAGGTTGACGTGAACATGCCAAAAGCTGAGGTAGAAGTGAAAAAGAAGAAGTTAAAGAAGGTGACATTCAGTGAGAATCTGATTCAAGGACCTACTTCTTATGGTTTTGAAAAACAAAGTTTATCAGCTCAAGGTGGAGACTCTTTTTCGTCAGAAAAAACGGAGAATACGGAGGAAAATGAGTCTAAAGAGAGCAAGGAAGAATCTGAGGCAGAATCTTCAATGGATGATAACTTGGAAAGTGAGAAGCGGATGGATCAGAAAAATGTTGGAGAAGAAGAAGAGGGTTTGAACAAAAAACTTGAGGTGAAAGATTTGGAAAAAGTTTCTAAGATATTGGGAACAGGTTTCTTTGGAGATAGAGCTAAAGGAGATGTAGTTTTATCTACGGTTCACAAGAGTAAAAGTTCAACAGATTTGGTAACTAAAGCAGTACCTGGACAAAAAGCTCAGGCTTGCTGCGATCTTCTCAACCTAGCTTGAAGGATGGTGCAGCTCCAGGTAACTCTATTATCGACGGTGTACTCTTGCAGGAAGAAGAACAAAGAAACAGGTCAGTTTTGGAGATGTTCTTCAGTCGATAAAGTAAAATCAGTTTGATTAATGGGTTAAGGGAGTTACCTGGAAGCGGCTGGAATTACGGTGAGGACACTTTGATTCCAGGTGGAGCTGTTGGGAGATTCAAAAGAAAACAAGTTAGTAGTGTTTTTTTTTTTTTTTTTTTTTTTTTGAGTCTGGGAAACAAGTCGAGAGTACAAGGTCCAAGTTAAAGGATTTACTTGAGGTCATCTAGGTAGCTGAAGAACATGGGCTGTTCCTTGGAAGAAGCTGCAAAAGAAGATGAATTTGAGGCTGGTTAGTTTCAGGTGGAGTAGCTGGAAGTGATTCATGAAGACGTTGATTCAAAGCTCAGTGCACATGAGATGAATAAGGTCGACAAAGATGAATCAAGTTTTTTTTGGAGAAGCTACAAGTATGAAATCAGAAATTGAGATTTCATAGTGTCTTGGAGGTATCTTAAGATACAGAGACAGATATGATGATTCAAGGTTGAAGGATTACCTTTAATCACCTGAACAACGGAGAAGAGAAAGTAGTTCGTTAGAGAAGCTGTTAAGAAGAAGAACATGGGATGTTCATCAAAGAAACTGGTTCCGCTGCGAGTAAAAGATTGGAATTTTGTCAGAACTTCATGAGTTGGGAATTTCAGAAATCGAGAATCTTAATTCGTCACAGCAAGGAGATGAAAAAGAGATTGAGGATACCTGAGATTACAGAGAGTAACAGCGATAGAGGAATCGCAGGAGATGAAATTTTTTTTTTTTGGTTTGAGAGAATTTGCATCTAGTTTCACTATCGGGAAGAATCAAAGAGGAACTGAGGCTTCAGGGCTTGAGCAGTGACGTGTGAGGGCAGTTGAAGATAAAAGAGATTCGACGGCGAAGACAACCGGAAATGGCAAACCCAGGTCGGATTGTGTCTCTTGAAATCGGGATCGAGAGAGATGATGGGAAGTTGGCGACAAGAATCGAAATTGGCTGAGCCCAATGATGTCGCAAGCTTTGGAGATTGTCAGAGGTGGTTGAGGATCGAGAGTTTCACCGGAATTGCTGGGAGTCATCGGAGTTATTCTCAATCAAGAAAAGGAAGCTATGGAGAACGACAGAAATTGTCGTGAAGAAGACAAAGGAGAAATTGACTGGGCCCAAGGTGGAAATTGTTAGTTTATGGGCTTCAGTCATTTAGTCTCTGGCCCAAATCCTAAAATTGTTGTTTATTGCAAGATGGGGTAAAGCCGTGTACAAGCCCACTGCAAAAGAGGAAAATCAGCATTAGAGGAATTGGTGATCGTTTGTCCAAGCTACGTATTATAAAAGGAAGAGGACTTAAAGCAAAACCTTAACACAGAAAAAAGAGTCAACGTACAAGCAAGAGAAACAGAGAGAGAACAACTTAGAGAGAAGAGAATAAAGAAGGGAATCCAAGAGAGCAACGTAGGAAGTTTGAGTCTTTCTTGTCGTGTGCTGTGATTCAAAGTTTTTCTTTTCTATTGTTCTGATATGTGACTTGTATTTGAAACACAAAAGAGAACACCAGTTAGTGCGTTTGTGTATTCTTTGATTGATAGTTGAGGTTGTGGGAGACGGTTCCCACCCCAGACGTAGCGGTTCGAGGCCGTGAACTGAGTGATCAAACTTTTGTGTTCTTTAAGTTTCTAATTCATCTAATAGATCCTAAGATCTAAGCACTCAGGAGAAATTAAAAATCCTTACAGATATTTTTTTTTTGTCAACTTTATTAATTAAAGGCCCAACGCCTATTACAAAGATGCATTCAAACCCTTTTACAAACCATATCCAGCCCAAATGTAAATTAAGATAAGGATTAGCACACAAGGACCCATGTCAACACGTGTTAACCTAGGGTTGAAAGGCTGAAGAACTCGCCACCTGACTTCGCCATCGATGCTCATTGCCGGCGCATTTTCCGAACGTCACCACTAGTCGCGATTCCTTCTGTTGAATAACACCATTGCATAATCTTCTGCAATTTTCTCCGAGAGAGATCATTGAATCCATCGACTTGTTGGAGTACTGGAAATCGGAGCAGATCCCAAGCTCGAATTAGTCGCAAAACACGCTCTCCTTATCCGTTTGAAACCAACCAACAAGATCCCACATCACGATTTTCATACATAGAGAGACACTTCATCCAAACCGATCAACCGCCCATAAGGGGGTATGAAGATTTACTCTCTGCACGCAAGAGATCGAGCTTTGATGAAACATGACCTCTATCTCTTTCAAACTTGAAGATAAGCGCATCAGAAGGTGAAGACAACCATAAACTAACAAACAAAGATAGAAAATCCGATAAAATAAAATTTATTATCCGAAAAACGGAACTTATTATCCGAACTATGTCGGAAAGATATCCGATTTTAATCGGAAGTCCATTGATACTTAAAACCCCTATTTGTTTGATATCATTTGAACTTTTTGATACCTATTGCATTGAAAATTAGATGGCATAATTATGTGATAGTTAGTTTAATTTGATCAATAAATCTTCTTTGGCCACCTGTAGCAAAAGGTGCAACCTTAACCAAAAATTATTAATCATTAAAAAAATTATCTCAAAAAAGAAAATACCCTTATACGCCATTTTGATATAAACTTATCATTTTCTCACAAACAAATAAGTAAGAACCAATTAAAAACGAACAATTTTTTTTTATGAAACCGTAGAAATTTTGGGTTTTCAGCTCACAATCTCTTCCAGTATCTGAAATCAGTATTTAGGTTTTCCGATTTAAAGAATAATTCTTCATTCGAAAGGATAGTTGAACCCCCAGCACAAGGAAACCAACTCCCTTGTACTACATACCACTAAACCACCACTCCGTTGGTATTGTATGTTGAAGATATGATGCATGTGAATTTTCATATACAAATGGGCATGTTCGTTTATCTGACACTGGCGACTGCGGCTCCAGCTTGCGGCTAGACGCTGCGGCCAGACGCAATCAATTGTTGTTCGTTTGTCAGCCGCGTGTCTAATCTTTGCGGCCAATCGCAACAGTTCTAATCGCAACGCTGAATAGCGTCCAGAAATACTGAACGCAGCGACCTGCATCTGGACACTGCGTTTGGCCGCAGAAGGCTGCAGCAAGTAAACGAACACCGTTTGGCCGCAATCGCAGCCGCAGCCTCTTGCGGCAGGCAAACGAACAGGCCAATTAACGAAGGAGTCATTGGAGTTCTAATGGTCAAGATTTGAAGAGCTTAAAGCAGCCTTATTCACGACGTAGGCTTTGATTATTCCATGTTGACGATTACCATGCAATTATCAGTCTTAGGTCGTTTTAGTAAACAAGTCAAGACGGATGACGACATACTCTGTTTTTTTTTCTGGATAAATTGTGGGAGTTTAATCAGACTTTTGGGCCTTGGCCGAGTCAAATTTTAGAAATATATACTATTAAAAGGGAAGCAAACATATTTTGTGTCTAAACAGAATTTTGTTTTAGTTTTAAACTATTCTGTTTTGGGATAACTGCTATTCATGTTATTCATGTTGCCAAACAAATTAAATTATTGTTTTATTAATAAAATAATATATTTTAATTTATATTTTAATATAAATTCAAAAATTTAAATTTCAATTTAGATTTGTTATAGATTTTATCAAAAATCATAAAATAAGTTGTTATTATATCCTTACAAAATAATAAATACTAATTTGATTTCATTTAAATGTTTAAATTTAAATAATATTTTCAATGACAAAGATAATATATTATTGTATATTTTTATTAAATAAATTTAAAATTTAAAATATTCAAACTTAATATATATTTAAAATATACAAATATTATGAACGGACATGTTAAAATATGTTTAATAATCAAAGTTTTTTTCAGATTAATATAAATAGATATGCTATAATGATGTTATTATAGTCATGATATATTTCGGGTTAATATGAACGGACAGGTTAGAATAATATTTTTTTTTAATTGCGATCATATATAGTACTTAAAAAAATCAATAGAAACAAATTATATAAACAGAAAAAATATAAATTATATTACAAATTTTGATAAACTAAAAATAGTTTCTATGCGGACGCACGAGATAGATTCTAGTTCTGATTTAAATAATAAACATCTGTCCTAAAAAGAATTAAATTCAGGGCACAAAAGATCCGACCCCCTTGTGTTACCACTTGGCCACGGGCCACCACCTATTTGGTTCCATGCCATTTCAAAAAAAAAAAAAATTTGGTTCATGTTACCCGTATTTACTATCTTATAATATTAAAGGAAAAATATATTTAGAATTTGATCTCAGTGTTACGTGCTATATTACAATGAATGCTATATAAATAAATATATTTCACAACCAAAAAAAAAATCAAAACCAGAGAGGATATGTGTCCTTTTAAAATGACCCGTTTAATAAGGATGCAGATCCTAAACTTTAAACCGTTTTGTATTTTTGGTAATTTTTGATTTTTTAAATGTAATCGCTTTTGAAATATTTAGCAGAAGATTTGGTGAGAGACATAATATTTTCTTTCGTTTAAATCAATCGCCTTTAATATAAAAGATTTAGTGGTTTGAGAATAATATTTAGTGCTTGACCTTTTTTATTCGTAGGATATTTTTTTTCCTCGATTGTAGGAGATATACTCAGTGAATTTGAAATCTTTTATGTCCATAACTATATATTTAAATTGACATGAATTCAATATTTTTGACTTGGTAACTTTAAACAAAATAATATTTTGGAAAGTATTTAGTGGCAGAAATAAATGAGATTTATTTTCGGAAAGTATATAATTCATGAATATTTCAAAGATAGAAAACATTAACTCACATAACAATTGTTTCGGAAATTATTTAATAACACCACAATTAGTAGTATTTAATTTGCATATATAGATGACATTTTGAAAATTTAAAAAAATCTCTGTTAATGTTTTACCAATTATAAAGATTTTTATCGAGTGACAAATTGCTAACTCCTAATTTCAAATCTGGCCGGACCACCGCAGCTTCTCCACCTTTTCTAGTCGGAGATCTTGCCTTTTCCAGTCATCTTTGGTTCTTAACAAACTCTGTCCCTGTTTTTCACTATTCAAAATCTAGCTCCGTGCTAAGACCTGCACTTAAAAACCTGCAAACCAAAGATGTTATCATCTTGAAGCTGTACGTCTCCTCTCCAAGCTGGCTCTTTTTAACAAAAGCTGATACCATCTTGAAGAAGAACTACTGTGTGTTCTCCCGTATCCATTTACCGAGCCTCCCTTTCTTGCACCTCCGGTCAGCTACCTCAGATGAAAAATCAAGACTTTTTTAACCAAGACAGACCAAGATTGAAGATTTCTCCCTCTTGGGAAGTTTGAAGAGCTTTTCCTCTGGAGTTTACCCTGTTTCTAGCTGGCAGCTAAGTTCAATCTACTAAAATCCTTGAAGAACTTCATCAAAACTTCATCTCTCACCTGGGAAGCTTAGTCTCTATTCTTCATCTTTAGTAAGAAACGATACTTCTCCAGTCCATGTTTACAAGTTTGAAGCCTTTCTCCCTGTTTGGGAAGTGCTGGGAAATTCTACATGCTTCCTCAAGAACCCGTCTCCTCTTCTGCTTTACCTAAGGTGTCGCTGCTACCTTTGCCAGTCCAACTTCTAAGATGTTGCAGCAAACCTTTCAGATCCAAAATTGAAGCTATCTCCCTCGCTGGGAGGTATTCTGTGTTCACCCGATCTGTATGAAAATGGCAAATTGGACGAGCTTTTAAACGATGATGATTTGTTTGGTGTGGAGCTCGGTGAAAATCTCGAAAGTGGGGATCAGATTCATCTGGAATCTGACCAGCAAAAAGTGACAAAGGACACTCAAAAGAAACCAGTCGACTCATGGTGGAGAAGCCCGACAAAATCAGATACCAGCCGGGAAATTGGTGCTGGTACCGGAAAATTTGGCCGACATTTTGAAAAGAAGAAACAGAGATCGCTAGATCTCCGACTAGCGTAGGAGAAGAAGAAAAAAAAAAAAAGGGGTATGTTTTGGGCTATATGTCGCCAAAAAGCAAAAAGAAGGGAAGAGCACAAAATCTGGGCCAAGCCCAAGCAGAAAACAAAATGATAGG